TAATAATAATAATAATAATAATAATAATAATAATAATAATAATAATAATAATAATAATAATAATAATAATAATAATAATAATAATAATAATAATGAATAATAATAATAATAATAATAATAATAATAATAATAAAAATTTTGCTCATATAATAAAAAATAAAAAATAAAAATTAAGACTTTATCCAACTTAAATGAAATAATTTTTGCATTATCCGTACCTGCGTACTTCCACCTCTTGCTGCACCAATTATTGAACAAACGAAACCGGAAGTGACTGGATAAACCGGAAAAAGTGATGAAAGCAAACCAGATAATTCTAATGCATAAAGTCCCTATAAAAAAAGAAGAAAAGTAAAAGAAAAAATTAGTCCATCTTGTCATTTAACATTTTTTGCCATAGTTATATGCATAGCAAAAAGATACTACAGCTATAACTAAAGAATTGAGAAGAATTGTTAAAATAAGATCAAATCATGGTAAAATTGGTCTGAGAAATCAAAATGATTTTAATTTTTAATTAGATATTTAAATATTTCAAATAATAAATTTCTATTTTCATCGAAATATTTTTAATTTTTAATCCACTTCTAATTTATAAACAAATTTTTTTAAAAAAAAAGTTCTGATACAAAAAAAAATAATTTATGAATTTTTCAAAGATTTGAAATTAAAGCATTGACAATATGTATGATAATGATTTTTTGAAATGAAAATGGTAAAAAAAGCAAAGCATTGCATGTGATATTTAGATAATACTCAATATAATTAATGAAAATTAAAGCTTCAAAAGTTAATTAATTAAAAAAAAACACAAATAATTCTTGGTATATCACCGATAACATTTCCTACATGACGTTCCGATATTTGTTGCAGTAATTGCCATCATTGTCCTAAATTATGTTATGAATTATTATAAATTTAATTCCTAATCTTTAATTACCAATTCTCTTTGTTAAACAAATAATTAATTAAGAGAGATATTGATTGATAGGAATGCATACTAAGATAAATTCATATAGTATTGGAAATCAAAATACATCAGCAAGCCATGTTCTAAAGATAAGGAAAATGATAGCTGATATATTTATTGCTATCATTGATAAATGCGTTTCGGTTCCATGCTCTAGCAAATCTTCAATTTTTTAAATTACTGTCTTTGCTAATTAATTTTTATTGATTTTTGGCTAATCAAAGTATTCATTAATCTTTAGTCTTTCAAGAATAATTCTAACAATAATTGATATTAAAATGCAAATCAAAATAAAATTTTGTTATGTAATACTAACAAAATAATGATTGAGGTGAAAGTTTCTGAAATTAATTTTAATTAATAATATAAAACAAAAAATAAAATTGATATTTTATTGAGTATATAGTAGAGATATTATGTACTCACAGTTACATTTTGGTATCGAAATATCTATAATATGAGAAATTTGCGCAAAAAATACAGGTATAAAATCGCCAACAACAAAATTAGACATTACTTTCGTCCGATAAATAACACTTCAAAAATTCTAAACGTAACATACCCATCCATTATAATCTGTAAAAAAAGGAAAAGGAAAATTTTTAAATTATAATTAGAGTATTTAACTAAATTGCACAATAATTAAATCATTGTATTTTTTGAAATTATACAAAAATTAAATTGCGGTACTTTCGGAATTTATTTACAATATTTCAATGTAATTCTACGAAAGATAGCATTAAATCGAAATAATTATTAATATTTAATCAGATTTTTCTGTAAAAAAGTACGACTAAAAGGGATAATAATTGTTTAATAATTAAATCGAATGTTACAAAAAACAATATAAAAGGAATTTTTTTTACTTTTTAATTATTACTATTTAATTGATGATTATTAATATTTGGTTGCAAATTTGCAAGTAAATAATATAATGTGAACTTAAAAGTAAATTGCAATAAAATGTCATAAAAACGATTTCCAATTGGTTAATTTCTATTTCAATTTTAAAATTCGATAAATTTCTTCCTTCCCGTAGAAATCATTTTTTGCTAAAAATATAATTAGGAAAGATTTTTGAAAGATTTGATGCAGAATTAATTTAAATTCTACTGCTTCATTTAATAAGTAAAATAAGTTTCGAAATTGAAATTTTTGATTTCATTTCATAATTAAATCTTACAAAGATAAATAATCGATCAATAAATTATGGATGAAATTTGCATATTACCTGGATGAAACCATTTTACAAATATAATAATCGCTGCTACATGTATCGGTTTCAAATCATCCAAATCAGTTAAATTTTTAACAAATGAAAAATTTAAATTTGTTTCATTTGTAACATTCATTAAGACAGTATTATTAAATAATTTGAAATTTTATCGTTATTTCAAAAAATTCTTTCATTTTTTAATTTACTATATTTTAGCATAGCTTTTTGAATAGCTGAATGAGTCATTAAACCACCTGGAAAAAACAACTTGAACCAACTGAAACTATCTGAGGAAAAAGGGATATTATCATGATGTTTTTGTTATCACTATTAATTGATGCAATTACTAATTATAATGAATAATTATCATTTATTATCTACACATAGAATAAATTGATAAAAATATTCAAAGCAATTATAAATGATGTTATTTTTTTGATTATTTACCTTTTCTATATCAAATGATAAAAAATACGTAATGAAAAACGTTATCAATAAAAGAAATGAAGTACTTAAAATATTTTTTTAATTAAATATTGAAAATACTAATAAACCAAAATGTTATGTTATCTCAAGCAAAAAAAAAGTGATTTTAAGAAATGTTTAAAACAAAAATAAAAAAAATTTCTTTTTTAATTAATTACAATAAAATAATATTTTAATGGCGAAATTCTTAAAAATCTTTACAAAACAGTTCAATCAAAGAAAAAAAATGAAAAAATTTCAAAAAATAATTTTGTTTACTTGACAATTTAATGTTAATAATTATTTTTCTAATAATTTATTAAAATTAATTAAAATAAATGTTAATCGATTCTGATTTTAATAATTTATTATAACTAAATAATTAAAATCATGTCATGATGAGTTGTGTTATGATGTACCAAATAAAATTTAAAGAAAACACTGAAAACATAATAGTATAAAGGCCATAAACAGGTTTAACTTCAGTTAAAGCTGAATGAGGAATTCCTAAATTTTTTTTGTTTTTTGGAAGTTCAACCAAAATAATTTCAAATTTTATATTTGAAAGCTAAAATTGAATTTTAGTATTGCACATTTTAGAGTTAATTAAAAATCAACTCAAAACTAAAATATTTTTCAATCAAACAACAATATTTGAATGGAATAGGTGAAATAAAATGAGAAAATTGGAAAAGTAGCTTTGTTTCAAATTTTAAATTTTAAATTTAAGGCATAAAATGAAATGGTACCATGTGGAATAGCTGATACAGCCATAGTTAATCCACCATTTACATCATCAAAGAAGAAACAATTATACCTTGGCAATCAATATATTATAGGTAAATATTGTTTAATGAGTTCAAATAAATCGATTATTTTTTTTCGAATTCCATAAAATTATTGTCGTTTATTTGAAACAATTTGAAAATTATCCGTTCCTATTGTAATTGTCATTAATATTTGAGTGACTAAAAATGCTAATTAATCAAAATTTTGTACTTAATAAAATTTAATAAAATCTTGAAATTTTTAAAAACAGAACTATTTTTCAATTAAGTAATGAAACATGTCTAATGAAATTGTCATCCTTATAGCAAATGAATGACAACTGATATTGATTATATTATTATAGATTTCCAAATATTTAATAAGCACGTAATTAATTAATTTCGGTCTTGACAAAATTGTTACAATGCATTTATACAAAGCTTTTTTTCAGCAAATTATTCCAATTATTTATTATAAATAAATTTAATTATTTTCTTTGCATTATATTTAAAATTCAAAGAATTCCTTTATTTCTTTTTCTTTTTGCAAATTTTACAATTTGATTGTCAAAGAAACCCATAATGGGGCCATTGTGGTCGTGTTAAGGTGATAAGACTATCATAATTATTATCATTAACAGAATTGATATTCAAATATGCTGTTATAAAATTTTCAAATTATTCAAGCAATAATAATTTGAAGTGAAAAAAAAATGTTGATGAAATAGCAAAGTGGGATTAATTAGCGAGTATTAATTTCTACTAAAACACCTTAAAATAACTAAAAGTTTGCTAAGCGCATTATTAAGCGAAAAAGACTAACAATTCAATCGGTATAAAAATCCAAGTATAGTAAAAATTTTGTGACACAATTTTTTCACCTCAAAAAAAAAACCTTTGGTTAAATCAAATTATTACGAGATGATTGACTAACATTGAGCAAAATGAGTTTTAGGTCAAAATTTCAATCTTTCATGTAAACGTATCAGTCAAATATTATCAAGCGTGAAATCATTTAAAATATCATCCCTTTTAGTTCTTTTGATTTTTGATTTAATTTTAGTTAAACTGTTGTAATTTTGATTTAATTTAAAATAAACTATTGTATTTTTTAATTTGATTAATAAAATATATCCTTCTCCCAGTTTTATCCATTTCTATTATGCTGATATATTGTTGTAATAATATGATTGATATCAATTATTTTTAAAAAAATTTATCATTTTGGATAACCTTAAATTATACTTTTGAATTTGATTCATATTACATTAATATGTGTTTGTAGCAAATCTTTATTAATATTTATTTTGAAATTCCTAGATTGTACAATACGAGCAGCATTAAAGGTTATATTATTAGTTGGTAGAGTTTTAGGGTGGCTTAAAAGGATGGCTTATTTGCTAGCAATATACGAGATAAGATCGACGACACGGTTACTGTAGCCATATTCATTATCGTACCATGCAATCAGTTTTACGAAATTTGAATTGAGCGAAATGCAAGCTTTAGCATCAAAAATTGACGAATGCGTATCACCCGTGAAATCTGTCGAGACGACCTGTTAATTTTAAATTCGTTTGAATTATTAAACTTAATTTATGAATAAACTGTAATTAAAAAGTTTATGGAAAAAAGGATCCACCTAAAATCATTGCTAACAGTCGATGAAAATAAAATTATTTAAGTGAAAAGGTGGTTAAATATGATTAGATGTGATATCTTAATTAGGATAATTAGGCTAACAAAATGAGATGTACACATCTAGAGCATCATAAATTTAACCTGATCCTCAGTATAATCAAGAATCCCCTTCATCGATCCCTCAGCTGCCTCCTTTACAGCGGCCTTAATTTCATCCATAGTTGCACCCTTCTGCAGTCGGCAAGTGAGATCAACAACTGATACATCCGGAGTTGGTACACGGAAAGCCATACCAGTAAGCTTCCCGTTCAAATCCGGAATGACCTAAAGTTATCACCTTTAAAGATGCAACTTTCGTCTTCATAAGTTTCCAGCAAGATCTAAAACAAAAGCTAATGGAGCGTTCCTAGTGTCAAATCTTACTTTTCCTACAGCCTTCGCTGCACCAGTGCTTTGCCGGGATGATGTTTTGGGCAGCACCACGACCATCTCGCCACAGCTTTCCGGACGGCCCATCGACGGTCTTTGAGTGGCCGTTGTTGCATGTACAGTGGTCATCAGGCCCTCAATGATTCCAAACTTGTCATGGATGACCTAAAGAGAAGTCTGATTTGTAATGTATGATGTAAAATCCTTAACAGGTAAT